CACTGCCCACGCACCTGTGAGCACACACATGGCACGTGTAACATACACCAGTCTGCTCACTGCCCACGCACCTTTGGGCACACACGTGGCATGTGTAACCATACACCAGTCTGCTCACTGCACTGGGGCTGGCATCTCCTTGCTAACCTTGCACTGATGGCAGTCAGTCCTATTTACATAACATGAAGTTCAAATGAGGAAACTCCCTAACTCTCCTTCTAAATGCCTTAATAACTCTTCCCATTTCAGCAGTTTACACTTGAGAAAAGATTTAGAAGGAAATAATATTTAGAGGTATCAAAGCGTGGTAACCAGCGTAGGTCACAGCAGCCTGTGGAGATATTCCTCCTGAGCTCCACCTGAAAGCAGGAGCTGGGGATAACCTGAGATTATCCAGGGCCCTGCCAAGGCAAGTCCTGAACACTGCCAAACAATGAAATGCCACCCCTTCTCCAGACAAACCTCTCCAATGGTTTATTCTTCTCATATTCTTCTTCATTCCTGTTTCCACGCTTTTGATTTCCCCTAAAGGAACGTGTGCCCCTCAAACTGTCACCCCACATCCTTGTGAACATAGTGACTACCCCTCACATATTAAAAGGCAGTTATTAAATACACAGTGTTCCAAGTTTAAAAGGTTTACCCAAAATTTGAAAGAAATAAAATATGAAATAAAATGAAATAAAAATAAAATGAAAATAAAATGAAAATAAAATAAAATAAAATAAAATAAAATAAAATAAAATAAAATAAAATAAAATAAAATAAAATAAAGTAAAATAAAGTAAAATTAAATTAAAATGAGAGGAACACACACTTTTCTTATCTCCTGCCCATATGGACACTGCTATGAAAACAGTTATTTGTTTCACCTCACTGTCTGAATCTGTAGGCATGTATTCTTGGGTTTTTTCCTTTTTCTGATGCTATCTAAGAGAAACCTGACATCAACCTTCTTTATAAACCTGAGTAACAACCATTTCCTTTGATCTCAAGCAGAAATGGTCAAAGTCTGGTAATATGGTTTTTTTTCCTACTGATATTTTATTTAACATACAATCCACAGGAATATTGCAATTTTTCCCACAGATGTCTACTGCCCTCTGTAGGATTATTTCAAATAAAATATACTGTATCACATCATCAACATGGTAGAGGAGGCTTATTAAGTTGATATCTCTTACAGCTTCATAATGTCACTGATTTTAGAGATTTGACACAAGTAATAAGCAGAATATTCCCAGCCAACAGCATCAGACATTTAGACTGCAAACTGCAAGCTGAGTGCCTGCAGAACAGAGAGGACAATGGGTGCATGAGGGTGTTCAGAGCTGGCCAAAAATCCCCACCATTCTGCAGAACTCAGGCTGCTTTCAGAGCATGCCTGAAGAGATTCTGCTGTGTGCAAGCAGAACACTGACAAACTCAGGAGAAAACCTACTGCATCAAAGGCTTTATTGAAGCTGTAGGTTTCAATGGATTTAAGTTTCCTTCCTGATGCCACCTAGGATGCAGTTCTGGTCCTCATTGCCATGCATAAGACTAGATTCATGTATGCTAAATTGCATATGGATTTTTGCATCCCATTTGCAAATAAAATTTTGGCTGTATTTTATCTGGTGGTCCTGTCAGACAATTAGAAAGATGTGGTAATGAGGAGCCTCAAAGCAACTGCTAACTGCACACAGGCATTGAAATGCAATGTTCATTTGCTTCTCTGCATTCATTAGAAAAGTTTTGGATAACCTAGATGAGTTCAGCAGTGCCATGGGAAGAGTCTGATGCCTTCCATGCCACAGGAGACCTGTGGTGTGCAAGGACATCAAAGGACAAGGAAGCAAACCAAAGCTATTCCTGCATAAGCATGGGCTAAGGAATTCTGACCATTCAGAAGAGAATTGGCTCCTGTTGTATGAAGGGATTAGGATGACATAAAAAACCCCAAAACCCACAAGCCTAAGTGCTCAATTCCCCACAAGACAAAAATGCAATTAAGGCTTTAATGGCATTTTTCTTTTAAAAAAAGCCTGCAACACCAATTACACATATATAAAAATATCCTCTCTGGAACATATCTGCAATTATAAATGGCTAATCACTATGACAATAAATAAAAAACCATACTACAGCATGCTATCATTTTATGATGTGAGGAATGAGGGTCCTGAAATTCCTGTGAGTTCAGGTAAATTCCCTATAAAAGAGGAATTTGCATATAAACTGAGGCTGTAACTCCAAAAAGCAAGTTAAAGCTATCAGGCCCTAACCTCAGAGAAGGACTGAACCAGGTGTCTGAGTGATCCCTACTAGAGAAACACTGATCTCTGCTCTATATATTGAGCACATGTGCACCTCACGTCAAACACGTGCATCCATCCAAGAACCTCCCCTTTTTCTGCAACGGTGCAATGATTTTTGATATTACACAAATCCCTTCCCCAAGTTTTCTAGGAAATCAGTGGTCTCATCAGTAACTGATTTACAGAATCTTCTGAATAATCTGGGTTATTTATTTCCCAGTAGTTGGCTGTTTTTCCATGCTCCATTTGCTGTCCTTTTCCTTTCTGATGAATTCTGTTTCAATTAATGCGCTTTCATTGCCATAAGCCACAGACCAATGACTAACAAGACAATTTGCACTCGGAGGGAAAGGCCACAGATTAATAAAAGCTAAAAATTACAACCTACTTTTTGTAAGAAATTATTCAAACACTGAAGGCCACCTTCTATCACAAAGTGACCAACCATGCCAAAAGAGGCTGAGTTTTATTTCTGCCATTTCCTTCCTCAAAAACACAACAGAGCACGCACTAGGTAAAGAGACAAAAACTTACCAAGCCTGGCACACAGCACAGTCATGTAAGTCTCATTTTCTTAGGCAAAACACAGGATATGGGTCAGAAAACCTGAATTGTCCTAGCACTTTGACAATAAACTTTGCCTGGCAATGTTACAATTAACTTCAAAATAAGCCAAAATTTTGTCAAACCAATTGCTTTTGTTTCTCATGGATGTAGGCCAACTTTGTGTCATGATTATACTTTTAAGAAAAGTTCAAGTTCAACTTTACATGAGCCCTTTTTTTTTTTTAAGACCATAATTTATGACTGGAAATTTTGACCAGAGCAAAATTCTGAGTAGTTAATGCAACTTATGTAGATTGTCACCCTAAGAGCCAGCCTTGTTTCCTTTAGTCATATTTAATATTTGTAGGAAGCAGTTCATCTCATGTGCTTCTTCAGCAACCAGTTTATCTTTCTCAGGAGATGAATTATAGTGAGGAATGAGGGTTCCCAGAACTGACTGTGTAAAAGCAGTTGATATTTAAGTTAGTTGACAAATAATTGTTATTTCTCTGTATGCATAAGGATTTCTTTCTTTCTCTTTCTTTTCTGAAGACTAAAACCAGTACTTTACCTTCCTTATTTAGTAATCTAGGTTAACTGAGAAACAGCTAAAATAGATGGAGGTCCTCTCCTGCCTGCAGCATCACCTCACACATCCCATACGGAGCAGGGACCATCTGGCCGCCCAACCCACGTGCAGGACAAAACAAATCCCACTCACCTCTCCCCAGCCCAGGGATAAGGGGACATGAGCACAAGAATATTCACAAGAAGGACAGAGAAAGAGGCTGGGAAGATATTACACAGGAAAACAAAGTTTCTGCTGCTCACACTAAAAGCTGTTAGCTTGTTCTTTACCCTGAAAGCCAGACCTAACTCAGATTTAGAGACAACTATTACATGCTGATGTTGCAGTTAAATCATTCCTGTTTACACAGTGTACCATTCTAAAAGAATACACATTGATTTACCAATGTGTACTGTTAAATTATTAGCTTATTATGCTAATACACGAATCTGTAATATAATTATATTAGACAGAGGTGAATTTTATTTTTCTGTTATACAAAACACGAGCTGGGTGTTTCAGAATGTCCTTGGAGAATGCTGAGGGCCCTCCACTGCCACCATAACTTTTTTGGGGTTACTTTCCAAAACCTACTGACAGGCAGCCCTCGGATAACACTCTGCAGAGAAGGAAGAGCAGAGTTTCCTGGAAAGAGCCAAGCATGGGAGCTACAGAGCAGCTGACCCAGCGCAGCGCTGTTCCCTGGAGCCAAGGGCTCAGTGCAGTGATCAGCACCTCTGCACAGGCAGCCAGGAGCCCTGAGCCCGAGGGTGCCACTGTCCAGTGAGCGCAGGGAGCCTGAGCTGAGGCCCAGAGCTGGCTCCTGGGCAGCACAATGGCTTTGGGCACGCGGGTTTGCTGCCAGCCCACGCTGACAGTCTGGCTGTGCCAGGCTGGAGAGAGGCGCTCGCTCTCACCAGTCACAGCCCCCAGCCCCACTCTGAGCTGCCAGCTGAGGCTAATCAGTGCTGGCAGCTCACTGAGTTACTGAATGGACACAAAGTCAGTAAATGTCATTCAAAAAAGCTCTGCTTCACACACAGCACGGCTCTGAGTGTTCCTGATGTGCTGCCACAGACATCACTTCACTGCAACGTTCATAAAACATGTTCCTGCCTTCACATACAACACTAGATGATTCCTGAAATCAGATCGGAATTGTGCAATTTTGTCTCTTACAGGATAGTCCATAATAGTAACGGGAATGAAAGCAAATTGTACTACTTATCATATAAAAACTTCGCAGAAATCTTCAGCGGTCATTTTTCATTCTTGTCAAACTAATCATCAAAATGCCTTGTTTTATGATTAATTCCTTCCCCCTTATCTGTGCTTGAAGCAAAATGAAGAAACATGGTTCACCAGTGCCAGCACATTTTAAAGTTATGTTTTTGGATGTACCTTCAGGCCAGCAAGTCACAACTTCAGATATATTAAAGGAGGACTATACATTTTTCAAGAAGAGACAGCTGGCTTTTGGATTACAGATGTCATATTTACAACACACAACTTCAAGACAGTCTAAAATCCAATCTCCTCCGAGTTGAAGCCATCATTAAGAAAAATCCAAGTTGCTAATTGCTTACCTTTGTCATTGCTGCTGGTTGGGGCTGGGGGGAGAAGGCCAGGCTTGGATTTGTCGTAGTTGTTGAAGCTCTGGCTGCGTCGGTTGTTGGCACTGATGGCACCACGAGCTTTGGCCTCGCTGCCCGCAGCGGACACCCTCATGGTGGGACCTGGAAGTCTGCCGGGACAATTTACAGCAGCTTTAAGCACAGGGAAAAAGCACTCTGGGCAAGAAACCACGGGGCACCATGAACAAGCTGAAAATGAAAGCATCAACAGCACAAGTGTAGGCTCATAAGGGCGTTTCTGCTTCTGTAAGAACAAATCAAAGGATCGTCTTGGATGAAAATTTGTATGGCAAACAAGCTGCAGTCGGAAGTGTTTTACACCAGAAAAAAAGCCCTGAGACAAAATTAACAGTCACCTGCCATAAGTCTGGTGAATCAGAAACAGTTGCAGGTAAATTCAGGGGGGCAATACCACTGCCAAAAGGTTAACACCAAATGAGACATTACTGCTGTTAAACCGGATTGCCGGACACTTCAGCACATGCTGGCCACATAAAGGCTACCCTTACTTCAGAAATACCAATGAGATGGAACTTGGCAGCATTTTCCCTCTAGAGAGGCACATAACATCTCTGCCCTGACAGAGCTACAAAGCTCAGCAGCCAGGCCCAGCAAGACTTTAGCCTGATTTGATTATTTGAGCCTATATAAATCACACACAGCTTCAGTACCCTCTCCTAGAGTGAGCACATTATCAGTGAGCTGGTATTAACCTCTGGTTTAAACTGGGCATCTGCCTCTTCCAGCACTCTCTCACCATAGCCTGTACTTACCAGATAAGGCTGATCAACTAGGAAAAAAAAGTAGTTATTCTGGAGTAAGTCAACAAACTTTTATGCTTTTCAGGCAAAAAAGAAGGTGGAAGACTTCCCTGAAAAGCCCAACAGAATCAGGAAAGCCACTGGCATCACATCTCAGAACACTTCAAAGCCTACACCCACACACAGAATCTTTTTTAAGCTTCTTCATGTAAAATACAAAAATCTATTCAAATAACTTGCGTCATAAATAAAGTAAAAGGAAGAACTCCCAGTTGTCAGAGAAAGTGGGGATGCAACTGGCCAAATCACCATTGTGCCTCTAAAAGAAGGAAGAGAAGCCAGGAAGGAACCTGGCACGGCTTCCTAAATAAACTGATTTATCCAGGACCAGTGAAGAAATAGAAAATATGAAAAGAAACATGGAGAAAAAGCCAAAATGTCAGCAGCTGCATGCACATGCCTTCAATGCTCAAGAGTCCAAGACATGAGGGCATCATTCAAATACAAACCCAGAAATTAATTTACAAGCTCAAACCACCACAGATTCAGCACAGCACATCATGGTTCTGAGGTTGACTTTTAGACCAGTCTCTCAAATTATCCAGCACTTTTTCCAGCACTGGGGGGTGCTAAAAAGTTGTCCGTACTCATCACTGCAGCAAAGGGCCCATGAGAAAACCCCAGCGGGGCTCCATCCACTGCAGAGGAGACCGCAGGGGAAGGAGCTGAGGGCAACCAGTGACAAATAAAACTTTCTGAGAAAGTCACCAAGACAAGGAAGTCCATGAAAAGCTCATTTTGTGTGACAGTTTTTCTACAAGGTACCTCAGCCCAAAGCTGCCCCCAGTTTGAAACCCTGAGTGTGGGGCTCCCAGCCCAGGATGGCTGCATGGGAAGGGACAATGTTCCTCTGGTGATGGATGAGAAAAGGCTCCCCACACACAAAAAACACGGGTTTGGCAAAGCTGTCACATTTTAAAGTAAACAAAGCTCCTCAAACCATGTGACCACTTAACAAGTGACAGGTTTTCCATCTGAGTCAGACTTGTCACTGCCAACAAAAACACACCAAGAATAAAAAATCTACGTGCCAAGAGCACTCTTGAAGATATCCTTTCTCTTAGACTTTTTTCCCCCCCCCACTGTAGTTTAACCAACTGCTTTTAAGCCCCTGCTTTTGGTATTAGGTCAAGATATTTCACAAGATACTTTGCACATGTCTGTGAAATCTAAGGAAAAAATCAGGTTCAGGGAGACACTTCTGAGAGGAGGTACTGAGCTTGGAGAGCACTCTTTTACTACACTTCAGCACCTCTGTTAAGCAAATATGAGCTGTCAAGTCATAATTAAGATCAAGGAAGAACGTGAAAAGAAAATGCAGAACTTTTTAACAGGGATTATTCTGCAGAGATTCACTGTTAGCATGTAAGAAATGAGATGTGGGAAATAAATCTAAATTATACAGCACAAAAAACAATCTATACAAACTGAATAAAAGATCATAGCCTATAGGCTCACAAGCTTAGCAAAAATGGTATGGTATAACTTACCAATGTAAAACTATATTCTAGTCAAACACTTACATATAATAGTAAACTAGCAAGATGATCACCCAGATTAATAAGCACAGGAAGCCTCAGGATCCCTGGGATGAGATGGCAGATGGGCTGGCATGCACGCCATGCTGGGGGCCAGGGAGCAAAGGGACCGAGGGGCCTGATCCCCTCCAGTGCTGGGTGTGGGAGCAGGGGGACAGCAGGAGCCACGCCGTGCTCTGGGCTCACAGCATGCAGGGACACTCTCCCCGCCACGAGGAGATCCCTCAGGTCATTCCCAATCCAAAACATTCTCTGATTCTATCATTTCAATAATGCAGGTCAAAATATAATTCATACAGCGGGGCGAGAACTCCCAGAACCATGGTTTGTTCTCAAAAGCAAAAGCTCCTAAGAACAAAAAAAAAATCAAATTATTTCCTTCAGGGCCAAAATGCATTCCACATCTCAAAAAAAAAAAAAAAAAAAATCCATGTGAAACTTTCCCATTTCAGCCGTTTGTAAAGGCCTAGTTACAACCTGTTTTTGACAGGAACCCTAAACATGCACCCAGAAATATTGCAAAAGGTAATTCATGCTTTGCAGAAGATGAAGAAATGCTAACCTAGAGGACCTTTTCTGACCAAGAGTGAATCGGATGATTTTGCTTTGAGATGAGTCCCTGGGAGATGCACTGTGACAGGAAAGAAAAAGCGGAAGAGAACATTGAACAAAGAAACTTTTTGGTGGTTTTTTTTTTAAAGCCACTGAACTTTGTAACTGGTTTTAGGGAAAATATGGGTTTTTATGAATTTCACAAGAATATAAAGCTTCTTGCCCAAGTATGACTTCAAGTCAAAACCACTACAGTCTGAAATTAATTTTTACAGAGTAATGAACATGCAAATCTGCATGCAACCCCCAACCCTATTCCTCTTTTCCTTCTCACTCCTTTATTAGATATATTTTCTGTAGAATCTGAGCAATTTGACTTTAGTACATATTAAGAAAACATTAAATTGAAGATCTTCAGGATATACATATTTGTCAAGTATTTGAAACCCAGCCCAATCTACACAATGGACTGAAAACAGCAAAACAGTGTTCAGCATCTCTGCATGTATGACAGAAAACTTGCAGAAATCTCTTCAAACACATCTTTATTTTATGGTAACTATTTCCTTTTTATACATGCTGCAGGAACACTATGTTTTTCAGCTACATAAAACTACTGTTTACACCTAAATGAGCATAATTTGTGATGAAATACATAAAAGCCAAACCCAAATAACCTCTGAGTGGTCCCACTTGGAAGGCTTCAGTAAAACTGTTTATATCCCTCCTAAGGCAGCACTTCAGCCAGCATCCACCTCAAGGTGTGTTGGCACAAGCAAGCCTCAACGTGAGATTTGCAAGAACAAGAAGCCTTCATACTTTAGTAATTGTGCAAATATGATTTCTGCTTTTAGTTCTCCTTCTTATCCCCTCCCTGTTTTAGCAGTGCAAGGTCAGAGCAGCAGAAGGCTGCGCATGCATTTACTGTGGCACTGCCTCAGAACATTGTTTTTATTCCAGTCTGGGCAGAGCACTGCTAGCATTAAAGACATTCAAGGAACAAAACCCCTTTCTGTTCATCTGTACTCTGATCTAGGAGTGCCAACAAACACCAGTGATGGACGTTATTTTTCATGTAAAGCCAGCAGCATATTATTTTTGACCAGAAAGTCTAGATTTGATTTTGACTGCCACCAGGCGTTATGAGCTCTATTTCCTTTAGCACTGTCAGAGTAACCCTTCCCCACAGTGGAAGGCAACCCTTCCATGTCTTAGTGAGGACTGAAACTCTTGTAATCTGAGAACTGAGGTTGGTTTTCATATGCCTAAAATGTATGTTTTCTAAGGGAAACAATGTGCATGCTTTGTGAGTAGAAAGAAGCAAAAGGAATAGTGAGAAAAACATCCTTTTACAATCATGTGGTTGCTTGGTCCAGCAGGGATGTCCCACCCATTGGGCTGCAGATCTCTAGCACTGAGAACATATTTAAACACATGTGTTTTGATTTCCAAAGGCTTGATTGCTACCCAGCATTCCACAACCAACACACTTTATTCTAGAGCAGAACTAAAGAAAGGAGTTTCTTTGGCTTTTTAACACCTGCAAGAAGAAGCAAAAAAAAAAAAGAGGTAAATAATGAAAGAAACCCACGTTGAAGGAGATTTCCCCACCTGGAGTGCATTTCTGGCTGTGCTTTCAGCTGCTGCTGGCACGGGGAGTGGGGCAGAGCTGGCACCTGGTGCTGCTGGCCCTGGGCTGGGGGCGCTGCTGGCTGCGAGGGATGGAGCTGGGGCTGCTGCTGGGGCTGCTGCTGCTGCTGCTTGTACCGAGACAGGCTGAAGAACAGGCCCAGGATGGCCTTCAGATTCCCATTCCTGATTTCTGCAAGGCAAAGGGAGAAGGCGCTCGTCAGCCACCAGCGGGGTTTCTCTCTGGCAGCGCGGTGGGTCAGCCTCTGCTCCCAGAGCACTGTCTGAACCGAGCTCCTATGGGATACCCGCGAGGATGAGTTTCCTTCTGCACATCTAATTGGCATTACAGTTGACTGCCAGTGAGCACCAAGGACAAATAAATAACTAATCTCTCCCCTGCGGTGATCAGCAATATCTCACATTTCCACTGGGTTAAATGACAGTGTGCTTAAAAAGCAAGTTCCTTTAAATCTTTCCTTTAAACTAACAGAACCCAAAACAGAGGCCCCACAACAACAATTGTATTAAGGGCAGCATGCTGTAAATGATTTCTCAGTCCTAAACTTGCACAAGGAGGAAACTACTCCATTCTCACACTGGCATCACATCTCAGTATTTTGATATTTCTGGAACATCAAAATAATCGTTTCCACTAAGAAAATTTGATGCAAGTTTTGCACTAGAAAATGTAGTTATTGGCTGACATAGCTGTATTCAAACATAATTACCAGCTTTGATACTGTCACAAGCTGATAAGGGATGGGCACCCAATTTACCTAAAGATAGCCGGGCAGTCAAGGCATAAACTTTTCAATTCCTGAATGCCATCCTGCTCTTCTATGCAATATCAAATGCAAAAACGTAAAAGCAAACAGAAATACAAAGATGAAGAGGTGTATCAGACCACACACTTAACCACTGTATCATAATTAATACTCCAGAGGAAAAATTCTTCCTTGCAGACAACCTTAATGTGCTGTGACTTAATTATTTAGAATGTTTAATTTCCTAAATTAAAAAAGTGAATTTAAAAAGCTACAATGAAACAGCTGAACTTCTGCCTGTGTTGTACAGATCACTCGAACTAAAAGCTGACTGTTGCCCTGTGAGACAGTAAGAAGAAAAGGACATGAGTAAGGCAGTGGCCAAGCACAAAGGCAAGAAGCAGAATTTTCATTTGTTTCCAGTTCTGGCTGAAAGGTTGCTCTGAGTTTGTGATGGGCCCCACTCCATCCCTTACTCCCTCTCCCAGCCACATTTCTGCTCACATTGCTCGTCTTTGCTGTATAAACAAGCTTCTGCTCCTAATCCTAAGCACTTCACCCAGCAGATCTGAGGCTCAAGGTTTAAAACTGTTCTTTACCCGTTCTGTACCAGCTCCCAGCTTTGGTCTCCTTGTCTACCTGCACCTCAGTCTACTTTCCCTTCCCAGACACTGATATAACTCACTTTCTTTCTGAAATTTGTCTCAACCCCTGCCCACGACTTCAGAGAATATTAGCCCTTCTCCAAGTGGCCCTGACCCAGGAGATCCCTTTCCTCTCACACTTCCTGACTCAGTTTCCCCAGCCATTTTTCCTTCCCTGCAGCCTGGCCCTCCATCAGTGCTGTCTCCCATCCTTGTTTAAAGGATCATCATTCCCAGGGCCCTCCAGGAGCCATTTTCAGCCTTCCTTTGTTTTCTTGGCTCATTTTGGTCTCCTCCTGAACAGTGGGGTCCCGATTAATCCTGCTGTTCCCCCTTTTCCCAGCCCACTCCTGCTCCCATGCACAAACCCAGCCTCCTCTCCCTGCACCAGGCAGGTTCCTTCTCTAATCTGCAGGTTCTCTTCAATAATCTCTGTTTAGCTTAGGAGGACAGGGGTGGAAGTAAAACAGACACAAAATGCAGCAGAACACAGTAAAAAGGATTTCCTTATCTCCAGCAAAGAACTCGAATTATCCATGGGAGCTGTAAGGAAAGCAGCATCCAATCACAGGTTGAAGCATAACTAAACAGATCCAGGGGCACTGGGAAGCTTAACTGCACAAATACAGGTCAGGAATAAAAGAAATTACCATGGACCTGCTTGTTTAAATTTAGCAATATGCAACTGGAAACTGATTTCTATGTGAAGTGAAAGGCAACTATAACAATAACCCACCTACAACGTGTTGCTGCCTGTTGTCTGCTGCATTTATCAGAAAGGCAACCTGCTTTTGACCAAATAATCAAAAGAAGAACACTTTTAATGAATTAAAGCAGTCTCTTCCCCTCTGGATTTGAAAAAAAAAAAATAAATTTAAATCAGGCTTTCAGTGGTACCTGTTTCTTTTATCTTAAAAACTGAGGTAATTCTGACAGTTCTACCTCACATTTCGTACAAAAGGAGTATTTCAAAGACTACTTCAGCCTCACTGCACTCTGCACATCAGCAGAGTCTCAAATGCTTCCTGCTTCAAGTCCTCTCCAGCCCATGGGCAGCTCCAGTATCCTATTGACTTAGATAAGGACAAGGATGTCACCCAGCCATTCTAAATGTGGAGCCAAAAATTACTGTCCTGGATACTGGAAACAAACACTCCGGACACTTGAAACCGGAATTTGGTTTTCAAAGGAAGCCCCCAAATCCACTCTTCAGAGATTTCCATCCTGGGATCTCCCTGCTGGTGCCTGTTTGCCCTCCATCCCTGCTCCAGGATGTGTTCAGCTGATCCTTATCCAGCTCATCTGTCACCCAAAAGATGTGCAGCTGCTTATGTGTGATATCAGTCTGAGTTTCTAATGCACATTTATGTTCTCCAATATCTTCAATATCTTGAGAGCAAGGAGATATTGTGTGAAGGAGAGCAAGCTTCTCTGGGCAGCTGCAATTCCAGGAGTCTAACACAGGTCTAAGGGCAGGGGTATAGCAAGACAGTTCAAAGAATGAACAATAAAAATTTGCAGCAAGAAGTGAAAAGAGATCTCCAGCTCTCAATAGTTTTCTTCAGCAACTAGAAACGGAGATTTATATTTTTAGGAATCTTTGATAAGGGGACACCTTTTTGCCTTCATGTTTCTGGGGAAGGGGAGCCTCTAGCACAGCACAGTCATCACCAGTGACTGCAGATCCTCAGCATCTCCACTGCACAAATCCATCAAAACAGACTCTGTGTCAGTGGCACACACATATCAAAGCAGGATTTTTCAACACTAGAAGGATATACACGTGCAGCCCCAAATTATTTCAACATTTAGGAGTCATCCAAATTCCAGTTTTGAGTCATTAACTTCCCTCCACACTGAAGCTGCACTGTTGAAAAATACATGCTCTTAACAAACCCAGGGGACTTCAGTGATTATTCCCGTTTGGAAGCAATCACAACCTTTTCCTTCCTCCTGGATGAGGATCTGCCAGTGAAGTAAATAAAGTTATTTGCAGTTGACCTAGCAGGTCTTGGCAACTTGCACAGAAACACTGCTTGTTTGGTAACAACATTCCTCACTTCAAATGGTTCTGTGTTCCTCAACACAGTGCTGGAGCAACTAGAAAGAGAAATTCACTTCACTGCTGCATTCAAGTCTTTTACCTTATTTTATAAAAATATATTCATTCCCTCCCCTTCTCTAGTTGTCACTTTCTTCCTTCAATGTTAGTGGTGGAGCCAGTAATGCTCTCATTTATGTGCTGGCAGCAAACATTACCGTCCCTTCTCAGCTTCCATGAGATTTAATACACTAATTCCTAGACAGTCTAAGAGCAAGGCAGAAATCCCGAATCGGGGAAGCCATGGGATAACGTGTGTGCTGCTGGGCCTGCCCTGGGCCTGGGCAGGAGAGCCATGGGCATTAACCAGCGTGGGCAGCACCACGCTGCCAGCTCCGTACACCCAGGCACTTTGCTCATCACCCACCTGCCACTCCACTTGGATTTTACCTTCTAGTGAGACAGGTAAATAATGGGAATGTATTTTTACAATATTTCCATACTAAGGTCAAAATTGGCCTTTACAACTGACTCAGCCGCATTTTCTTTTTACTCATTTCCTGGCAAAAACCAAGTTTTCTGCTGTTTGAAGTTTTAGCTCATGCTTTCTTTTCTTGACATGAGAATCCTTCTGATTATAACCAAGCAACTGAGAAGTGCAATGCTGGCAGCACTCAGGTGGACCACAGTAAAGCTTCTCTTTGTAGGAAAATTTTTGTTATTGCTGTTCTAATGCAGCCTAAGAATACACCCAACATTCTGCCTCCTCTTCTGCTAGCTGTGGTGCACTCAGGTCAGAACACTAAATATCTGCTATTTCGGTGCAGCCTCCTCCTCCAAACTAAGTTTGTGAAGAGACTCAGTCATCAAATGTAACTTTGAAGTCTCACCTGATGCCACACATTCAATTATGCGTTCTGCAAAGCACTGATCGAGATGTCACGTCATATATTCAGCTACTGAACCCAATGCTTTTCCAGCATATTTAATTGAAAATACAAGTGAAAGCTGGTGCTGATGATGACAGAAATCTGTTTGATCTCTTAATAAGATAATAGCTAAACAGCTTCTGAGCCAACAGGTGCCACACATTGTGCCATAAAGGAACAGAGTTAACCTAGTTTGGTTTCAGAAAATTCTGATGCGCTTCAAAAGCAGAGTGATTAATTAGAGGTCAAAATGTCTTTTGTTTTGTTTTGACTCAAAACATTTGGATTTGATTGTTTTGTGCACTTGGAAACAGGAAGCAGGATGGTTGTTCAGGTAAAAGAATAATTGAAGAATAAGGAAATAAATTTTTTCTCTGAAAAGGCAAACAACTGACAGCAGTTCACTTATATCTGTAAAATATATACTGATCAATGTGCAAATGATAGAACTGAGATAAGAAATTTCTGGTTTTCAACAGAAAGTAGTGAAGAAGTGACTGAACTCTAACTTGGTCTCAATGATTACTTTTACAAGTAAACTGTGTAGAAATTAGATACATATTTTATCTACCTTTCAAACTGAGATGGGGAAGAAAGCAATAAAGATTGTCAGAAGTTTAAACTGACCTTGTTAATCTTCCATTACACTCCATGTTCTAGTTGCAATCACAGGTAGCAATTCAGGTTCCTCATTAACACGGAATCTTAACCAACCAATGGACTCACCTTCTGCTGACAGCCCCTGGATGTTTATCCCCTTGGCAGCCAGGAAACTCAGGCACGCATCTATGTTCTCAATCTGTTCAAGAGCAAACAAAACAAACAGGGAAAAAGGAGACACAAAAAGAAAAAGCATTGTAAGAATTATTTACTCCCATCCACCGCCACCCTCGAGTGCGCTCAGTCTTTGCATCCCATAAAAAAGTCCCTTTGCTCGTGATGTGGAAACCATAGTATGAAACTCTCAGTTACTGGGGCCCTAAATGGATTATTGCATTGATTATAAACTGGCTGTTCCACGGGTCAGGGCTTTCTGTTATTGGCATCTGCACGAAGCAGGTTAGCTCCAGCCCCAGTTTCTTACTGGAGGCTCAAGGATGCTCCGCGCTGGATGCGTAACCTACAACAAGCGCAACAGACACCAAACCGAAAATAAACATGGAGGCCGTTGTTGGAGGAGGCAGACTGCCACTTGCTCTGAAGCTGACAGCTGGCAGAAGCTTCCAGCCGCAGCAGGAGCTGAACACAAGAGCTGTAACTGGAAACTGGAATGCAGAGCGCGCTCCCTGCCGCATTCCCCGCAAGGCAGGAGCACCAGGCCATTCCTGAGGGCACCTCCTGCCCCTCACACAGGCGGACAATGGGCACAGCCTTCATGGGACAAACCAGCTTCCACCAGGCAGGGACTCGTGCACAACAGCTCTGCCCTTGCTACACACAGACTGGACTCAAACCTACCTAACAAAGTGAACTCCAGAGGGGCTGAACGAGTCAGGAATGTTTTCCACTCCATCTCAACATTACAGTAAGAACCTTGGAGCAGCCTCACACCTGACTTCCCACCAAGCTCCCACTGAAGCTCTGTGCCATAACCAGGAGATGCAGGGAGATGCCAGCCCCCAGCCCAGCCCAAAGCACTTCCATGCAAATGCCTGAGCTTGGACACCTCGAGGGGCTGCAAGGAGCACTTGAGGAAATACCATGTTTTGTGTGCAGTTACACCAAAAACTCTTGGATGACACTGTTGAGCAACTCTTTTATTTAACCATGGTAACCAGCAAGTGATAAAATAAGTATTTGTGTCTGAACATGTCTCAAACATTAATTTATTAATTCCTTTAAACATTGCAACCAAACACTGCATCCACCATATGGATAAGGAAGGAGACAGACACCAAGCCCCACGCTTGGTCTCACATAACTACCTTTATTCTGTGGAGCACGGAGACATGTAAAGGAAACATGAAAAATCCAGCTGCCCTAGCAGCTCCTGCCTGCCCTCAGAAACCACACAGCTGAGGGCTAAGGCTGCAGTTTAGAACCTGAGCTCCCAGCACTGACCTGAGTTCCTTGTCCTTCTCAAAGTAATAAAAAAGGACCACGGAAGCTGCCAGGAAACCTCCCACATGGACTTCTCTCAGGGCACATTAATTTATTGTCTTTAACTGTAACAATAAAAACATTTTCTCCTATCAGGGGTAGAGGTTAAGTTATTGGCATTGCTGAACTGTGATTTCAACAATTAGAAACACTTTTATCAACCTCATTATACTTTGAGATATAATATAAAGTACACAAAGTATATAGCACACTTTGAGTAAATCATATACTCCAAAAGCCAGAGAGGGACCAAAGAACACATTTCCTGTACTGCTCAGACCTTAAGGCTTGAAGCAGGGTGCAGTTCAAAGGTTCATTTATCCACAGTTCAGTATGATCCAACAGCCAGCTGACCCATTTCCTTCTTCAGTACTCAACAAGCCTTTCAAGTTTCCAACACGGCTCTTTTATTGAGGTGATTGGCGACTTGGCTGGAAAACCAAAGTTCACCTTTTCAAGAATAAACACCACATAAAAGGATCAATCCATTCCTACTACTTGCACTTAACAAGCTGCACCATTCCAAGAACACTTCCAGACTTCCACAGCTGTGGGCAGATGCCTTCTCTCCAAACCCGCAGGTTAGTGACTAAAGACAAGCAATATCTCACCCTCACTCCAGCTGCAGCAGCTCTCTCAGTCCTGCTCTGCCTGCTTCTCTTCCCAGTCCCCTCACCTCTGGTAAACTCTCTTTCAGGACAGAGTGAGGCACAAGATTAGGATTCACATCTGGGCAGTGAGTTCCTCATCCATGTCCTCATTCTTGGCGCTATACAGCAATCTTTGGTGATGTCCTAATCTCATCATACTCAGATTCAGGGAGTCCCCTTTAAACAATTCTATTTCTCCTGTGGCACAACCCCCCAGTTTTTCTGAGCACTGTGGCCACTGAATTTAGGTAAATCACACCCATGCTCAGACTGATGGATGGCTCTCCATCACAGGTCTGTATCTGAACCATAGGTTGAGCATGGAACCTCACGGCCATACAAAAGGTCAGATGGATGCCTCGCCACACCAGTGGGAATTCCTGGCTAAAAGCTGTGAGGAACAGGGGCTCTTGGTGCCCTACTGCCAGGGAAAACACCTTGATTTCATCAGGCATGACTAAACAAAGTGGGAGTAACAGGGATGTGCAAGCTACAGCCTTCACATTCAGAAAATAAAGAACTAGGAGAAGATCCTGTAGGGATGTACAGCAATGCACACGTGAGAAATTCACTAAAAGAATAAAACTAAAAGATATAAATAAAAATATATAAAAACCTGAAAGATATAATGACTGTCTAAGATTTACACAGTGTCTGTGATATTAACAACATTACATGGCAGCATGGCAGGAATGAGAGGAATTGGTTGATTTGGAAGGAAAAATAGAGCTCGAAAAGGAAAACAGAAGAAAAGGAGAAAAATTCAAAAACAAGTGGAACACTGAATGCAGAACTGTGGCTGAAATTATCAAAATTTACTGCTGGTAAGAATTCAAGGTCCTTCCCACACAACAATGGCTGAGTCAAGAACCCTGACTTGGCTGAATCAGTCTAATGCATCAGAAATCCTGTTGCTGTTTGAAGAGATGACTTCCCAGCAATGCTACATGTCATGAATTTCACTCATAAAAGCTCCAAGGAAGAATTCCTGCCCTGGCCTCTGCTGTATTAACTACTAATAATTCAAAAATATAGTGGAGAAAGATGACCCCAGTGCAGACAGGGCTGGAGACAAGCAAGCCATGATAATTAGACCATTTAGATGTGCGTAGGATAGAAGTGAAGTTTCTGGATAGATCTCAGGTAGACAGATGGTAGTAAAAAATCCTTCCCTGTGAGGGTGGTGAGGCCCTGGCACAGAACTGTGGCTGCTCCACCCCTGGAATTGTTCAGGCTGGACAGGGCTCGGAGCACCTGGGGCAGCGAAAGGTGTCCCTGCCCATGCAGGGGACTGGAACAAGAGGGTCTTTAAACCCGAACCATTCTGTGATTGTAAGCAAAACCCCAATGACCCTGCATCCTGGTGACTCCCAACACAAAGTACAGTTGCTGCCTGTAATCACAGCATTCAGCAGCAAATCATCACCCAGACTCTACAGGCCCCTCTTCTGCCAAGTCCATATTGCTCAAACCCTTCACGCAGATGTGAAACGACCAGATTTGCCAAAGGGGAGTGGATATTTTCTGTTGCACTGTGAGCTACAATTGTGTTTTTTGGCCGACAATTCTGATTTCTCATTTGCTTTGTCAGCAATGTTTAACACAGCAAAAGCAAAGCAGGAAAGATGGCAGCTGGATGCTCTCAATCCCTGCCTACCCAAAACAGGGGAAAGCTGTGCAAAAGAAGGAAAACCAAGCACAGCCACCCACAGTGATTATCCCACTCAGAAACATTACTGGGGTATCCCAAACTAAGCCTTATTAAACCTCCCAGACAAAATATTCAAATTAACTTGCAATTTTAGATCATCACATTTAAACTATTTCAGGAGTAATCTACTATCAACATGTGCTATCAGTCCCACATTCTTTTATGATGGGTATTCATTCTGAAATGAATGCCAACCAAGGACAGCAGAGCCCACACCAGAGGGGCTGGCAGCCTCTGGGGCTCCTCCTCCTGCTTCCTTTTAATTAGGAGATGATGAGGAAAACAAACTGCAACAACGCTGTGAAATTCAATTTCTGCTGAGACATAACGTATCAAGTGCCATCATTCTCATATTCAGAGAAGGAAAAGGCACCTGAGAACTCCCTCTTGACATGAGTAACCTGACAGGGTGGGAGCAGGAGGCACCATGGCTGAGTGCTGCACATGGAGAACTGCCCAGGACCGGATGATCACACCAGACCTTGCGCAGCAATTTCAATTTCTATTCTCGCCAGTGCTGGAGAGGAAACATGCCCTGGCCTGTATGAGCAGAACAGGATATGCCAGAAGCAAATTTAAAAAAACCCCAAGCCAAAATATCCCCATCCTGTAGCCTATAAATGGAGAGCCACAGGTGGGCCCTGACGTGTGGAACACTGAATATCTCAGACAAAATCTGAGTATGGACACAGCCCCAGCCAAAGCTGTCTGTCCAACACACAAGCCTGCTGCTCCTGGAACAGACATGGGGGTTTTTCTCAACAAAAAACAGAATTAAACTCATTGTAGGCTCCTTCAGAGGAGGTTTCTCATGTTGTGATGCAAGACCTGTGCTCCCAACTTTTACAGTGATAAATGGGGAGTTTTGATGAGCTTATCCAGAAAAATCACTTCTAATACTGAAACCTGTGCTTATGCAGCCCGTGGCTCAAATTTATGTGTAGTACATTCATTTTCAAAAGAAAAAAGAATGAATTCACATGAAAGTTTTTAAGGCCTCACAAACCTTTATGCAATATTCCAGCTGACTTCACATACAGTGCAGAAACAAGGAAATAGCCTAAGAAACACAAGCTGTTCCTTAGGACAAAATTTATTCCTTGTCTGTACTTTTGAATAAGGCGTTTGCCCTCATATTTTATATCCAAAAGTTTAGAAAGAGCCTTAAAATCTTAAGTCATTACACTGACAATTTTTAGAATCCTGGAGTTTAGGGGGAGGAAGGGCTCTCCATTGCAATAACATCTCATTTCCTCTATTTCCTAAATATAATTATATATAAAAAAACACCAAAGCAGAATTGCAAATTCCATTTGTCCCAGAAGGATAGAAATACTA